TTAACGGGTCTGGATGGGGCTACATTAATATGATGACACAACGTAGTTTGTTCATGAATTAACGGGTCTGGATGTGACTACATTAATATGATGACACAACGTAGTTTGTTCATGAATTAACGGGTCTGGATGTGACTACACTAATATGATGACACAACGTAGTTTGTTCATGAATTAACGGGTCTGGATGTGACTACACTAATATGATGACACAACGTAGTTTGTTCATGAATTAACGGGTCTGGATGTGTCTACACCATTATTTCATGACGTGTTACAAGCTTGTTGATATTTAGTAAGATAATTTTCTTTCTTACCTAATAAATTGATATACACAAAGTTATATATATCTGTTCTGTACAAGTTAAGAATATTTTGTTTTCTTTAACATTACGGGATCCAGGTTGTCAAACTCTATAATTCCCCCTCTCCCAATGGCACAGCGGTATGTCTGCGGACTTACAACGCTAGAATCCATGTTTCGATACCCGTGGTTGGCAGAGCACAGATAGCCCATTGCGTAGCTTTTGTGCTTAATTACAAACAAACAAACAAACAATATATTTTTTATTTTTCATGATTTATTGTTTTACTAATTATTAACAATTCGTGATAACGTTTATTTGAATTTTTTATTATATATAATGCACAACCTATCAATATTAGATTTTTCCTTAATTAATGTAAAATAAAAAATTACTATAGAGAGAAAGAGAATAAGCTAGGTGATGTTTCATTCCATGAAACTATGAATTACACAAATACATAAAAACAATATTTAAATGACACTTTAACGAAACTGATCTCTTCTTTTCTAAGCAGTGTCGCTCTGGATTGTCGAAAATTAACAATACAATTTTTAATTCTGTAGTTTGTCACTAGAAGAAAATAGTACAGTCTCTGTTCCTCGCTCTCTTTAGCTTCCATCTTGCGAGGCTTAGGATCTAAAAATAACGTAAAATAATAGGCTTAAGTTTATCGTGTCTTTCAAGCTGATTTTGTGGAAGATAATTCTCCATATTACAATAAATTGTAACTTAAATACAATTTTAATCATAAACTAAATATTATAATATTGTACCTTTTGTGTCCCTAATTCAACATATGGAACAATACACAGGAAAAGGTCATTAGAGATTTCACATGCATATAAGGTAAACGATTTCAAAGGAACTTCCTGTACTTATTTCATTCTGCGCCATCTGGAGATTGTATCATCACGTAAAGCGGAACTTAGGCATCAAGAAAAGCTAAATTCGGCCATTTTTTTTTTACCAAGTTACGTTTCGTTGCTTCAGTGTCTATCTAAATCCGCTGTTGTTGCAAGGTTTACTACTACTACACAGCACGTGGACGTTTGGAAGAATTGAGAAAGGAAATGACTCCTCTGACTGAAAGTTACCAGGAATTGAGTTTTGTATGATTTCTGTGTAGTAGTTGTAAACCTTTCAACAACAATGGATTTATAGAGTTGTAGCACGTTCTGTGTAGTAGTTGTAAACCTTTCAAACAACAATAGATTTATAGAGTTGTGGTACGTTCTGTGTAGTAGTTGTAAACCTTTCAACAACAATGGATTTATAGAGTTGTGGCACGTGCTGTGTAGTAGTTGTAAACCTTTCAACAACAATAGATTTATAGAGTTGTGGTACGTTCTGTGTAGTAGTTGTAAACCTTTCAACAACAATGGATTTATAGAGTTGTGGCACGTTCTGTGTAGTAGTTGTAGAGCCTTTCAACAACAATGGATTTATAGAGTTGTGGCACGTTCTGTGTAGTAGTTGTAAACCTTTCAACAACAATGGATTTATAGAGTTGTGGACATCGTATCACAACTCCTATTTCAGAACTAGACCGTACATCGTATCACAACTCCTATTTCAGAACTAGACCGTACATCGTATCACAACTCCTATTTCAGAACTAGACCGTACATCGTATCACAACTCCTATTTCAGAACTAGACCGTACATCGTATCACAACTCCTATTTCAGAACTAGACCGTACATCGTATCACAACTCCTATTTCAGAACTAGACCGTACCGTGTTTGTACGAGAACATACGAATGTATCGCAAGTCACCCGTTCATTCCCCAAACTACAAAGCCTTCAACTAAACATCCTGAATCAACATCAGATGGAAGTAGGGTAAGAACAAGTGGTAACACTGCTTATGATCAGTAGGGTAATAACAAGTGGTAACACTGCTTATGATCAGTAGGGTAAGAACAAGTGGTAACACTGCTTATGATCAGTAGGGTAAGAACAAGTGGTAACAGTGCTTATGAACACTAGGGTAAGAACATGTGGTAACACTGCTTATGATCAGTAGGGTAAGAACATGTGGTAACACTGCTTATGATCAGTAGGGTAGAACATGTGGTAACACTGCTTATGATCAGTAGGGTAAGAAGATGTGGTAACACTGCTTATGATCAGTAGGGTAAGAACATGTGGTAACACTGCTTATGATCAGTAGGGTAAGAAGATGTGGTAACACTGCTTATGATCAGTAGGGTAAGAACAAGTGGTAACACTGCTTATGATCAGTAGGGTAAGAACAAGTGGTAACCTTGCTTACGATCCGAGTTCAATCTTGAGGAAAAGAAAGCGAGTTTATCACACATACCAAGAGGATTTGTCCTACAAAGTAACTTGATGTTTTAGCTATTTTGGGCATACTTTAATTTTAACATCACTTCCTGTTTGCAAGGAAGTAGACCGGAAGTGATATAATCAGTTATAATTACAGTGTAGTACGAGCTATGATTAACAAAATTCGTGACATTTTAAAATATGTCAAAGAATAGTTTAGTACACTTATCACATTTTGGCCAAAATATCCTATGAACTGTCACATATAAACAATTGCTACCTCTACGTTTTAAACTTTAAACATCCAAGGTTAGATACGTAACGGCTGTTTGAGATAGTTTAGCTGTAAGTGATAATCTTGCTTAAGAGAAGGTTTAGGAAGAGGTGTTTAAAGGACAGAATGTGTAGCTGATGAAGATATGTGCTAACAACACGAAACGTTGCTCAAAAACCTTCTTGGACAGCTGAAAACTTTTAACAACGCTTCCAATATGTCAGTGACATTAATCAACAACGAGTTTTGCTTGTGGTTTTGGATTCTGCCCTTATTTACTATCTATGATAAACAGACATTAATTAATAACGAGTTTTACTGTTTTAGGTTCTGCCTTATTTACTATCTATGATAAACAGACATTAATTAATAACGAGTTTTACTGTTTTAGGTTCTGCCTTATTTACTATCTATGATAAACATACATCAATCACAATATAGAAATATTTTGTTCCACATTTAGTTTTCAATTTAACTTATTCCTAGTAAAACAAGCTACTTAAGTTCTTTTACCTTAGTGCCATCCTCCATAACCTCCTCCACCACCTCCTCCGTAACCACCTCCTCCACCAGATTTACCGCCGCCCCCACCACCTCCAGATGTCAGAGAAATCGGTACAGCAAGAAGTCCAAGGGCAGCACTCCCACCACCACCTCCTCCGTAACCTCCGCCACCGCCTCCACCTCCGTAGCCTCCACCACCACCTCCATGACCTCCACCACCTCCTCCGCTTATTGAAACGGGTATAGCCTGGAAGTAGATAAGGTTATGGTGTCAAGAATGTAGGTTTAAGTTATTTGACTCTTAGTGGTCATAAGGTCTGCCAGCAGTATTGGACAGTTGACTGTTATCTGGACATTTTAAATATTATACTGTGATTGGAGTTTTCCAAAATATACTTATGATACGATTATATAATAGTAATGTATCTAAAGACGACACCTATGTAACCTAGTAGGTAGGGAATTTCACTTTGTTTTAAAATCTGTATTAAATGGGGTACAGAGAAGCACAAAGCTGAGATGGTATTTTCACATATATTTAAAAGTAACATAAAACGATTCAAGAAGTTAGCAGACATCACCTGGATACTGACAGATCCTCCACCTCCTCCCCCACCGTATCCTCCACCTCCTCCTCCACCGTATCCTCCACCTCCTCCCCCACTAGAACCATAACCAGTAGCTGAGGTTTTCAGATCGTCTTCTGGTTTTAGGTCGTCGAGTGTTTTAGCCTGTACCACTGTTGTCAGGAGTAAACCCGCAATAAACACCACCTAGCGAATAGAATATCTATTAAAATATACTGTAAAAAATATCATCGAAAATTAACTTTTAAAACATTCATTCACACTTACTTGTAATAAGGCTTTAAAACAGGGTATTACAATAAAGACTATTAATATATAACAGGAACAGAACTAAAACAACGGTGAACAGGGTATTACTATAAAGACTATTAATATATAA